ATCATGTCACAGCTCGAATTTTTTGTGACATATTTGACTAATGGGTTCTGTTTTGAGCTGTCATGTTTGTGTGGTATATGAATGAAAGAAATATGCATCTGGTGTTTGATTGCTTGTTTGTTGGTTTAGTAGATCATGCTCGTGTTGCCCTAAAAGAAGATTAGAAACACAATTAGTTTTGGATCTCTTCGATGTGGTTTGTTTGTGGCTTTTGTGTCGGGTTGGATTGGGACATGTGTTGTTTTTGGATCAGTTGTTGTGTAAGTTTGGAGAGAGAATTGATTAGATAGGGGATTATGGCATAGTCGGAGTCGTGGAAGTATAAGTTTTGATGATTGCTGGTGGTTTAAATATAATGATATTCTTTTGTTCGTGGTGAGGTTAAAATTTCTAATGATTTACTGTATGGTCGCATGGTTTTAGTACTTGTTGAAAAGTTGCGAAAGAATGAAAGTCTTACATGAAGGGATGAGCGATCGAATATTGTTTTATATTAGAATGGAAGTAGGAGGCTGAACTGAGTTTTTAGCGGTTTGGGTGGGGATTAATATTCATTTTCCTCGAATGTGAGAATATGAGGAGTGGTGGATTTAGTCTATAAATTTGTTTTTTATATAGAGGTGTCGTGTTAACTTTGAAGAAATGTTGGTTGGGCATGTGGGTTGTTAAAATCGTATTTCCAATTGTTTGCTTTAGTGGAAAATATTTTATAATAGGCGCGTTCTGCTGCGTTACAAATAAGAGTACGATGTGTTTAGGAATGTATTGAGGATTAAATGTAGTAGTATGTTCTGAAAAATGAACCTTGTTTGGGAGTCTTGGGTCATTTTAGTCAAAGGGAGTGTATGTTTTGTGTGAATGATACGATAAAGGAGGGAAATATTTCAGGATTATGGAGGGAAAATTGGTTTGCGGTGAGTGTAAAATCGACGATTTTTATTAAAGTTTTTATCAGTATTTGTTATTAAACGATATCGAATAGTAGTTGGATTGATATTGAAAGGAATGAACATGTTTTTGTATCTTAGACATCGTAGTAAATGATTATGAATCGTTTCTTGTTTTTATGTTTTACGATATGCTTTCTCTCTCTCTATTATGATTTATATGTGATATTTTTCAAAAAGTTAGATTACTTCTGTTTTTGCTGATGTTTATGCTGAATAATTGCTTTTCTGTTATAGTACGATCCTCATAGTTGACATAATTTTTGAACCATCGATAGCAATTGACAATTGTGACTGGTATTTTATTTAGGGATAATATTCCAGGTACACGTTTAAAATTAAGATCAGCCTCGAAATGTCTATTAATATTTTTAGAAATCAATATATTCTTCTGTAGCTTTGGGATATAATGGCATGAGGAATAGTTTTCGTTTTGTTGGAGTTCATTATTTCTGTTGGATGATATATTTACTTTTCTTGTTCTGGTAGAGTTCGTAAAATCTAAACACGTTCGAACAAATGTTTTTAGACGTTGATGATGTGCATACCATATGATCTCGACTCGGGGTAAATGATTAATTCTTTCAACTTTGCCTACTGCATATAATATTTATAGTTCGTGTCATATTGAACAATATTAATTTATCACCGATCTTGTTGTGTAGACGAAAAGAACAAAGACTCTTTAGATATAGGAGATTCTACACTTCAATGGATGCTCAATAATAAATTTTTAATGATTTTATATTATATACAACGATTTATTTCTTATTTTCAACAGTAAGAGATTCATTTATTTCGGTTCGATAAATCTCTACTAATGTCTATTTCAGAGATAAGTGGTCGTGTGTAGTTTTTGAATAATTTTTCATAGGAATGAGATAGAGATCTGCGGTTTTCACCATCGGGAAGAGGAGATAAAGACGCATCGAATCATATATAGAAAGATTTTTCTAACAACTTTCCTAAAGGTTTTACATAAAACTTCAAGAAAAATAGAATGTCTCTCATCGTCATGATATTAATTTATTAATTTTCAGGAGTGCGCTAGAACCGCCAAACAAAGCGCTAAAAAACCATATCAAGATTCTATTCCTAACGGCTACCGGTAAGATATCCAAACCATGGAAGACATAATTTCTCACCTCGGTTTTTCAACAAAATAATCGAAAAATGTTAGTTTTTGCAGTATTTTGATAGAAAAATCTATTTTTTAATGTAGCAGAAAAAAGCAATTCTTTGAAAACGTTTGACTAAAACCTTTAGAAAAGTAGCTAGGAAAATCATTCTATATATGGTTCGATGCGTCTTCATCTTCTCTTTCCAACGGTGAAAACCGCAGGTCTGTATCTCGTTCTTATGAAAAATTATTCAAAAAATGCCCACGGCCACTTATCTCTGAAATAGACATTAGTGGATCAATATGTACCAACATATTAATCGATGCTTTTTATTTCCAAATAAATATCAAACACCGTTAAGTTTCTTTCAATTATTGAATATTTTAAAGAAAAGATATGAAAGTAAGTAACTCGCTGGTTTTCTATGAAAAATTTTCTATTGTTGACAATAAAGCAATTTATAAATCTGACACAAGGAGATAATTCTTAAAATTTTCTAAGACTCTAAACGTCTAAGCAAAGTGGAATTACTACGTCTAAACTCTAAAGCATAATACTAAAAATTCGTGATTGAATAAAAAGACGGTTCTATATTAATAATATAACATTGAAAAATGACACATAATATTCGAATATGGATTATTGTTTATTTCAATTGATAAAATTAATTTGTTTTTTTTTTAATTTTTTAACTTACAACTGGTGTTTAAAGATGGAGGTGAAATAATGAAACATTTGTTTCCGATGATTTAAAATATTTTATAGGAATATTTAATATTTTAATTATGTTCTCAAAAACATTCATTGTTATAAAAAATTGAAAATATGACAAAATAAATAATTTTTTCTTTCAAAGAATAAAATTTTTCTAATTCAAAATGAAACATTTTCATTTTGTTAGGTTATCTGAAATGACGTTAAAATGTTACAATGGTTTTCAAATTTTTAGTGTAAAATAAGAGATAGTTGATCTTTGAATTATTTCTTAG